CCGTTGAGCAGGGTGGATGGTGTATCGCTTGGGTCCGCGTGGCAGGGGTGAGGAGTCAGCACCACCTCACCCCTGCCACCTGGACCCAAGGGATAAACCATCAATCCTGCTCAACGGTCAACGTTCCTGGCGGGGTCACACCAGTTAGGACAGTGGGAGGGTTAAACATGTAAAACGAAGCAGAGAAGCTTTTAGTTTGGACTTGAAGAACAAAAACAACATAAATCCATTAACGACATTGTTTCTATGTATTTATTAGCCTGAAGCAGGACCAACAGAGTGATAGCGATCCTCTGTGATGCTCCACAGCTGTGTTTATGTTGATGAGCGGTTCTGTTCAGTCAGGCCCGCCACCCGAGGAGCACCTGGCTGAACTCTGGGACCTTTATCTGGTTCTGAGTCGGCGGTGCTTCTGGGTAAGGATGGCTGGGACCTTCTGAGATAAACCAATTTCTATGGTTCTGTGTGGCTTCAGGGGTAATTAGTTCATCCTTTCTGAAGTGATCTGGCCCGTTGTTACAAACTCTTCCATGTTGGGGCCGTGTGCTGGAGTCGTGCATGTGTCCTTCTCTCTGTGAGCTTTCCACTAACATCTGTTTTCTGTTCTTCCTCTAACATCTGATGCTGGTCCTCGTCACTCTGGCCCATCTGCACGGCTACGTGCGTGTGTGTGTGCGTGTGTGTGTGTGTGTGTGTGTGTGTGTGTGTGTGTGTGTATTCTGTAGTCGTGCAGAGCAGGTGCCTCCCTGTCTGACTCATGAAACCTTGCTGCCCTCCCCGTGGGGCACGCCTGCACTCACCAGAAAGAGGTAGCTACAGCGCCCCCCAATAATGCATGTCATGTTGTTGTTTATGAAATCCAGCCTTGATGTCAGGCAGAGACATGGGGGGGGGGGGGGGGGGGGTCTATGGAGCTGAGGCTTTGTAGTTCCCATGGTGTGTTTTATAATAAGTTAGTTTGGTCACAGACAGCAGCCGTAACAAAACATGTATTCCTACTGAGAAAGGAAACAATCTTTTCTGTAGCACCTCCCAAAACAAAAAAAGGATGAGGCGCCTCACATGAAAAACTATTAAAATTTGTTAAAATATGTTTAACATGAGAAAATAAATAAAAATTATGATTAAAAAATAATGTAAGGAAAGAGGGAAATCAGTGGACTTTGGGGAAAGAAAGAATAAGTAGAAAGAGCAGAACCAGGAGAGGGTGATGAAGGTCCCACCAGAGCCTGAACAGGTGAGTTTAAAGGAGACCACCGAGTCCACTGATCTCAGGCTCAGGGGGAGAGAGGTCCAGAGTCTGGGGGCCACAGCAGCAAATGATTTGTCACCTTTGACCTTTAGCCTGGTGCTGCACAACCAGTAGGCTTTGGTCACTGGACCTCAGGGACCTGCTGGGGGTGTAGGGACTAAGAAGATCACCAATATAAGATGGTGCTTGTCCATGTAAGGCCCTATAGACCAGAACCAGGATCTTGAAATGAACCCTGAAGTTGACTGGCAGCCAGTGAAGCTGGAGGAGAAGTGGGGTGATGTGGGTGTGTTTGGAGGACTTGGTCAGAAGCCGAGCACAGGCGTTCTGAACCACCTGTAGACGGTTCAGGGAGGTTCTGCTCAGACACGTGAAAAGAGAGTTACAGTAGTCTAAGCGTGAGGAGATGAAGGTGTGGAGAACTGTCTCAAGTTCAGAGTGGGACAGAATGGGACTCAGCTTAGCAACGTTCCTGAGATGGAAGAAGGAAGAGCGAACAAGAGAACTGACATGAGAATCCAGGGTGAGAGCTGGGTCAAAGGTCACACCAAGATTCCTGATGGAAGGTTTGGTGTGAGAAGCAAGCTGACCAAGAGAGTCTCTGACTTTGGGAACCAGCTTGTCTGGGGCACAGATGAGGATCTCAGTCTGATCTTCATTCAGCTGTAGAAAGCTCCCACCATCCAGGTTTTGATAGAGTCTAAGCAGGTGTGTAACAGCTGCAGCTTAGACATCTCATGGGGCTTAAAGGAGATGTACAGTTGGATGTCATCTGCATAAGGATGGTAGGGTATTCCTTTGAATGAGCTCAGGATGTGCTGAAGAGGAAGCAGATAGAGGAGGAAGAGCAGAGGCCCCGGCACAGAACCTTGTGGGACACCATGGGTAAGGGAGGTGGTGGAGGACCTAAACTTGGAGACGGCCACAGAAAAGGAGCGCTCAGAAAGATGAGAGGAGAACCACTCCAGAGCAGTTCCTGATGGGCCTACCCAGTGTCTGAGCCTCTCCAGTAGCAAGTGATGGTCAACAGTGTCAAAGGCTGCAGTCAGGTCCGACAGGACCAGAACAGAACAGTCCCCTACTAGAGACTACTGCAGATGTGTTGAAAAAAGGTGTGCACTTGGTCTTGGTAACGAGGTGGAATATTGAACCCCTTTATTGACCGATACTAAGGGTCGAGCGTTTGGGTCAGAAGAAACGGTACCTGGCTTCTGCTCATGCAGGTGCCGTGCATTCATGTGTTAGAAAGGCCCGATGAAGTCCAGACCTAAATCCCACTGAGCATCTGAGCCAAGATTTAGAAGTTGTTGTTTACAGATGCTCTCCATCCCATCTGGGAGAGTCTGAGCTCTTTAGCTTAGAGAAATGGTCAAAACCGTCAGTCTCTACTAGGTGTGCAAAGCTGGGTGAGATACCCCAAAAGGCTTGCTGCTGTGATTACAGCGAAAGGTGTCTGGACAGGAGGGCTGGACACAAATGCACCATTTTCTGATTTTATTTGCTAAAGTGTTCAAAACCATGTTTCAGTTTCATTCAACTTCTACCTCTGAAAACTTCTGTCAAACATCTAATGTTCTGGTTGTAAGGTGTGAGGTGTACGAATGCTTAAGCTGCTGTAGGCCGCCTCCCTCTCTGCTAATCCAGCTTGAATGTCATTTAGAAACTTTTATAAAGTTTATTATTCTTAAACGTTCACAGCTGCTAGCTCTTTTGTCTTTGTAGTTTGACTTAGATAAGAGCCTCTTTTGTGCTGTAATTGTTGCCATAGGATGCTGTCCCGTTTTATTTTGTATAAGGAAGTAAATTATATTTCTATATCACTCATTACAGACAGAAAGTCACAATGTGCGTCACATAGATCAAAAGACAACAAACAAATCACAAAATCATGATGATATGAAAACAGAAATAAATTAAAATCAGACAAATAAAGTCATTACATTATAAAATACCATAAAACAAAGGAAAGGTGATTACAAATTCTAGTTAAAAATCAGAAAATAAAAGATTTGGATAAAAGCAGCATTAAAGAGCAAGTCACCCCCTACCAGAGTCTTACTCCCCTCCCACTTCATGTTGGAAAAATGCAACAAATGCTGTTGCCTGGCAGACCGAGAGGGCGGAGCCGCTAACAGACACACACACACACACACACACACACCGGCTCACGACATTGTGACATCATAAGGTACCAGCTAATGTTTTAGGGTACCTCTTAGCCAATAGCTATGGCAGATTTAAATTCTAATGCAGTGCAGAGTTTATACCTGACAACGGCGCAACACTGACAGTTTTAGGCAGAAAATTAAAATTTGAACTAAGTTGCGTTAAAGTGTCAAAATATTGACGACACGTGTCTGCGGCACGATTAGACACTAATTTATATAGTTTATCAGCAAAAAAATGGGGGTGACTAGCTCTTTAAATAAATGGGTCTCCAGTCCTACGTGCGGATAAAAGACGTCCCACAGACACCTGGAACCTCCAACAGCGGTAACTGTGACTTCCTACCTCAGCACCCTTTAGACAGCTGATACCAACATGCTGTATGGATAATCTCTGTGCAGTCATCAGATTATAAACCACTGGGGGAACAACACACCTGCTACGTGTAGTTGCACAGAGCAGGGTGGATCTCCTCCTGGTTGCTCTGATGAAATTGCTGACTCATGCTAACAGCTAAAATGTTGCTGACTCGCTGCTTTTCCCTGGGTTACGGGTGGATACTTAACAGATCTAACTTTCTCAGGTGTGTTGAAGTTTTATAATGATGTAATCCTGTGTTTTGCTCCGCCTCCCAGACACGGCTACCACGGCACATCGGGCCCGCCCCCCCCAATCAAAGCCCTGACTGACCTGAAACACCACTTAGCTAACCCCTCCCATCCAGCGTCTGTTTCCTCCTCATCTGACATGGTGGTCATCCACCCGGGAGCCGTCCTAGCCATGTTGGACCTCCTTCCCTCCGTCTCCTCTGACAAACAACCAGAGGTGAGAAAGCAGCAACTTCCTGTGAAAGCTGCTTTCATATTTCGGTGTAGAGACTGGTTTAAAAGCAGCTTCATTTACATGATTTCCTGTTATAAACACCTTGTCAGGAGCAACCTCGTCGCATCTCTGTCTTTGACGCAAAATATCACCCCAACATCCACGATTAAGATCCCTACGTGTCCTAAATGAGCCGTCTCCTTCTCCTGTCCCCCGTCCAGCATGCCCTGGACCTGCAGCTGGCCGTGGCCAACATCCTGCAGCTCCTGGTGAACAGTGAGAGGAACCAGCAGGTGCTGTGTGAAGCCTGCCTCCATCAGCGGCTGCTGCAGCGCTGCAGCCAGGCCCTCTGCGATGAAGATCACCCGCTTCACCCGCCGCTGCAGAGGATGTTTGAGAGGCTGGCCTCGCAGGCCCTGCAGCCAATGGCACTCCGGTACCAACCCGAACATTTGTATGTTTAATCTGTTCTGATGGGTTTCAGCAGGAGGTGGCCGGCAAATCAGAGCTCTCCTCATTTCCTGCGTCACTGCTTCAGCGAGATGGGCGGTCGGGTTTTCATATGTAAATAAGGCCCGTCTGATGGGGTCCATAATTCAGGGTGTAAATGTCGGCCTCCATCACTCCTCCTCCTCCTCTCTCTGCTCCTGCATCTCTCCTCCTCCTCCTCCTCCTCCTCCTCCTCCTCCTCCTCCTCCTCCTCCTCTCTCTGCTCTTGCATCTCTCCTCCTCCTCCTCTCATGAGGTCTCTGCTCTGCCTCCAGCGCTGCAGCAAAGCTCCAGAGTCTTTCTGTCCCGGTCACGTGGTCTGGACTCGTCCCAGGAGCGGACCTGGCGCTTTGATGCAGGACACGGACCTTCTCAGACACACGTAGACTTGGACTCACTGATCCGAGTCTGAAACACATCCTGACTCGTCCAACTCACTTAGATGCTTCTGAGTTTACTAGAAGCAGCTGGTGGATGTTATAAATGTTGTAAATCAGATGCATCAGAGCGTGTTTCACCTTTTTCTAGCACAAGCATCAGTTACAGCTCACACTCAGATGAAAACGGACTTTTGCAAAAAAACAACCATAAATAGTGTCGTTCTGTTGGCGAGAGAGGACGTCTTTCCTAAAGCAAACCTCCGCAGCAGCAGCAGAAAGGATTTCTTCACTTTGTATTTTTATTTTTCACATCCAGATCATTTTGTTCTACAGGGAATTTTTACGCCTTGGAAACCCGCTGAACTGTGGCGCCTGGGACAAGAAGCTCCTGAAGCAGTACCGGGTCCACAAGCCCAGCTCTCTGGGTTACGACGTTGAGATGAGGAGTAAGTAGTGACTCTCATCCCAGCTGTGGGAAAACGGCTTTCCTGGTCTGTCCGTAATATTTCTGTTGGGCGTACACAGTGTTGGAGGAAAATAGTTTTTTACTCGATTCACGTTCAACTAAAATCAGATTGTTGCCTAATAATTCAATCAATCAGTACTGGTACCATGTAGCATGGAAGGAAAGTGACCAAATGCTTTACATGAAAGAAAAGCAAGAATACCGTAGGACATAAAGCTGAGGTTACAAGATGAGACACCGAACCTTAAAGCCAGTGGCTAAAAGAGGAAAGAGCAGGTGTAAAACAGCAACAGGACAATAAAACGCAGCATGTGCAAGATGCAGAGGCTCCTTATTGATAAACGCCTGTTGGAAAAGGCAGGTTTTAAGTTTGTGTTTGAAAATAAACAAATCAGAGGTCAAACGCAGGTCATCAGCAAGTTTATTCCAGAGTGCAGGAGCCGCCACTGAAAAAGAGCAGTCGCCCCAGTGCTTGAGTCTAGACCGAGGAAGTTTGAGAGTAAGCATACCCGTGGACCTGGTGGATCATGTTTGCTGACAGTCAGAAAGGTAGGCGGGGCCTCGACACCAGGAGCCAGTGCAAGCTAAAGTTAAAATGGCTCCACCTAGGTGTGTTTGTGAGGAGACGTGCTGCAGAATTTTCTACCAGCGTAAGACGAGCGACGGAGGACGTAGACACACCAGCACACGGGGCTTTACAGGAATCGAGACGTGAACTCCTGTAGGACCTTTTCCAGGACTGAGCAGTTCAGTAATTGTTTCAGCCTGAAGTCGATAAGAGCTCGTCTTCATTGCCGCATTGATTTGCTTGTGAAAATTCATGTGTTCATCAAAGAAGACACCAAGGTTTCTGACATGTGGCTTATGGTTGAGCGCCAAATCAGTAGCAGAAACACTGTTCGCTCTGTTTTATCTTCGTTCCACAGCAGCAAGTTGTTGAGAGCCACAGCTGGATAATACAATAGAACAATAATGTCATAATTGTGACAGCTGAGTTGTTTTCTGACTGATGATGGATTATGAATAACAAACAACATCATCTGAGTAGTTGTTGCTAAATATGACGACACAATAAAGTGTATAAAAGCCCAGCTGTGACTCAGTAATGGTTTGGGTTTTGGATTCTTAAAGAGCAAGTCACCCCCTACCAGATTCTTACTCAACTCCCACTTCCTGTTTGAAAAATGCAACAAATGCTGTTGCCTCGCAGACCGAGAGGGCAGAGCCACTAACAAATACACACACACACACACAGGCTCACAATGACATTGTGACATCATATGGTACCAGCTAACGTTCTAGGATACTTCTTAGCCAATAGCGATGGCAGATTTAAATTCGAATGCAGTGCAGAGTTTTTGCCTGACGATGGTGCATCGCTGACAGTTTTAGGCAGAATATTTTAATTTGAACTAAGATGCACTAAAGTGCCGAATTATTGACTACACTTGTCTACAGCAAGATCAGACACTCGTTTATATGGTTTATCGGCAAAAAAATGTCGATTTGGAGGGACTTGCTCTTTAAGCCGTGGACTCTGAATAATTCATTAGGACTTGTGTCTGCAGCAGCTTTGTGTAATAATCTGTTGAGATGAAGATTTCTCTGCACACCATTCTTCTGTGAAGAAGCAATCATTTCATCTGGTAGACGGACGCTTCCTGCTGGGAGGAAGTTGTATTCCAGGGTAAAACTTTAAAGTGACGCTAAACAGTTTCCTGCTTCTCCGGCCTACTGGGTGAAAGTGGAATTACAACTGTCATAAACAACCCTTCTCTTTAAAGAGCAAGTCACCCCAAATCAACATGTTTTTTCTGATTAACTATATAAATACGTGTCTAATCGTGCTGCAGACACGTGTAGTCAATAGTTTTGCATTTTATTTAAAATGTTAATTTTCTGTCTAGAACTGTCAGTGTTGCACCATCGCCAGGTAAAAACTCTGCACTGCATTTGAATTTAAATCTGCCATCGCTATTGGCTAAGAAGTACACTATGATGTTAGATGGTACATTATGACGTCACAATGTTGTGAGCCTGTGTGTGTGTGTATTTGTTAGCGGCTCCGCCCTCTCAGTCTGCCAGGCAGCAGCATTTGTTGCATTTTTCAAACAGGAAGTGGGAGTGGAGTAATACTCTGGTAGGGGGTGACTTGCTCTTTAACAAGGATCTGATGCTGTTTGTTTGTGTTCTGTTAACAGCAGTCGGTGTGATCTGGGCTCCTCATCAGGCCTTAAGTGTTTAATGTGTGTGCTCCAGCTGATCACGGATATTAAATCCTCACTAATTACTGCTCTTTGCTAGCAGCTCCTGCTGGAACACAAGCCTCCTGTATTAGCTGCAGCACTCCGCATCAGGGATTATTTGGTCCTGAATCAGGATGCTCGTTAAAACCGTCGGTTAAAAACGGCCATTTCAGTTCTAAAATTACATCCCTGCTGGTCACTTTTCATCTGCAGCTGTAACTGTAGTAGAAAACACAGCTTCGGCGCTTGAAATCCCTGAAAAGTCTGGAACTTTAAGGTGTAAAAATGGTACATTTAGCTGTGGTTTTACAGACCTGCTTGTGTGTAAATCATGTAAGCTGCTGGGAAAGCTTGACAATTCATTGAAAGTTCTTGAGTTTGATGTAGGAACCCTGTGTTGTAGTCAGCCCCCAGAGCAAGTCGGTGTTTAATGAGAGTGTGATGCAAACACTTCTAGAACCGGACCTGATGGTTCTGTCTCCACAGACAGCATGACGTTATCCATGGAGGGCTTCGGCCCTGACAGCGTCTTCGCTACGCCAGCGGAGGACAACGACCAGTACCGCATTAGCCGTAGCCTGGTGCGCTCCGCTGAGGACAGCACGGTGCCCCTCACCAGAGTCAAGTGCCTGGTATCCATGACGACACCCCATGACATCCGTCTGCACGGGTCAGCTGTCACACCGCCGTTTGTGGAGTTTGACACCTCACTGGAGGGTTTTGGGTGAGTCGGCTGATCAATTTCTTCGTTCTCTGTAGTTTCTGGTGTTTTTCCACAGTCTTGCTAAAGTTCATTCCTATTTTTTCAGCTTCTATTCACTTAAATCAGGGGTGCCCAATCCTGGTCCTGGAGGGCCGGTATCCAGCAGGTTTTGTGGGTTTTCTGTTCCAACAGACTTGATTCAGTGGTTGAAACACCTGTGCAGCCGCTCATCAGGCTCTGCAGAAGCCTGTTAATGAGCTACTGATTGAAATCAGGTGCGTTGAAACACTGTTCAAACTAAGGCCCTGTCCACACGTAGCCGGGGATCTGCCAAAACGTAGATATTTTTCTACCTTTTGGCCTGTCATCCACACGAAAACAGATTTTTTTCACATGAAAATAGATCTTTTTAAAAACTCCGGCCAAAGTGAAGATCTGCGTTTTCTCCGTTTTGGGTGTCTGCGTGTGGACAGACAAAACCGGAGTTTTAAGGTCCGCAACGTCACTTTCCGCGACAGAAAAATACTGACATCACGTGTGCGACCTGTGTTTACACTAGCCGACAGCATGGATGCCCTCAGAGCTGCGCTCGCTTTATCAATTGTCCAAGCGCTTTCTGCTTGTTTGTTTTTGCAAGCGGAATTACTGCTGCTTGCGGAAGACCACAGACGAAGGACGAGGTTAAGAATGGGGGAAGTACTGCCGCCTGCAGGTCTGGCATGTCCTTAACAACGTATTTATCCGGGTACGTGTGGACAGAGTTTGTTTTTAAAACGAGGTGGTGTGGATGCAAGTTTTTGGAGGGACGGGTATTGGTTTTAAAAAAAACCCGGCTACGTGTGGACTAGGCCTTAAACATGCAGGATATCAGCCCTCCAGGACCAGGATTGGGCACCCCTGACTTAAATCAATAATTACACACACACACACACACACACACACACACACACACACACACACACACGGGGTTCCACCCTATTGAAACAGGATATGTGCACCTGTGACTGTCTCAGCAGGAGGCTGTTATTCAGCTGCAGTTGTGAAGCAGCTTACAAATAGGCTTACTTTCTGCTGTGTGTGTGTGTGTGTGTGTTTAGTGTTCTGTAAAAAAAATGTTTCATATTTATATATGCACTTCTATCTGTTGAAGTAGTTCCCAAACAGTGTCGTGTATGACTCTTAATGTCATGAGAGTTTAGTGAAGCTACGTGTCTGTACCTGACCCATCCCCGTGGGGAGAGGTGAGCTGCAGCTCTGGCTGCGCTCGGGAACTATTTGCTGGTGTATCATTATATTTTCTTTCTTTTCATTCTGTTTAGAAACTCTTGTGTTGTTCAGCGTGTCATAACAACTCATCAGAGCCACCTTAAATTAGAACATTGAGTTCCTCCTTAAAACAGAAAAGAAACAACAGCAGAAGTCAAGGCAGTGGCCCATTTTCTGCTCATCACACACACACACACACACACACACACA